TTATAATACAGCATTATATTCATGAAGAGAAACAAGCAAAGACTATTTTGGGAACAGGTGGAGGTCGTCGTGTTTCTGAGATCGATGTGCCGATTCTTGCTCTTTAAGATTAGCGTCCGTCAGTCCCCACGTCACCGGCTTTCCTTTGCCCCCCTCGTGTCCCCGTCACCCGGCTTCTGTCCAACGCTTTTGGAGGCGGCGAAGGTGACCCTGGTCTGCGTCGTCACCGGCCCCCGTCCCGGCCGTGGGTTTGGTGTCCCCGCCGAGGGGACCTGGGCGCTCCTCTTTGCGGAGCCTGGAGCGAGGTGAAAGGTGGACGAGGAAGGTGGAGGCAGCTGAACGTGTAGCACGACGGGGTTTATGTCACACACGTCCGTCCAGCTTCGCTGTCCTCGCCACGTTCGCACGCTTGGGTTTGTCTTCTTTTTCTGCCACACTAAACCTGCACGTGTGTCCAGGGGCTGCAATAGAGCAGCAATTAAAATGAAAATACTTCCCCCCCCGCCCCTTTCTCAAAACAATATTAGGTTTTGCTTTTTTTGTGTTACTCACATTTAAAAATTCAGATCTTGGCCTTCAAAAAGCGTGTGTGTGATAGGCTGTTCTCTTATGTGACTAGTATTGTCGGGAAGTAAGGTGGCCCATCTAAGTACATTTCTCGGATAACTGAAGTTGTCCTGACGAGCAAGCCGGTCTTACGTCGCCTCTTACGGGTGGGCCCGCGCGCTGCCCTCGGCCCTGTAGAGGCGTCTGCTGACCACAAGCCTCCCTGTCCGTGGGCATCGGTCCCCGAGCCCATCCTCGCCGCACTAAGCCACACCCACACGTCTGATCAGGAGCCGTTCACGTGTCTGGGATGGTTTGCTTTACGCTGGATGAGCCAGAATCATGGGTTTTTACAAAGGTCGTTGTCTGTTTTTTAACATACTGTTTGGAGCTCTGGCTGTCACGCCTCATTTCTGACCGTTCTCAGCGGCGTCTGCTCTTTTTCTGCTGTCACCATCTTTACGGGAGGGGGGTCAGACCACAGTACCACGGGCCAAGGGTGCGGTGTGACCTTGAGCTGGCCGGTTTGTTGCTAAGGGTCTGCTTTCTCATCACGAAAATGAATAGATTTCAGGGAATGATCCCCCAAAGTCCTGACATATCCGAAAAGTCTTTAACTCTAAGTGAGATGTGCCTCTGCACGCGGATATGAGGAGAAGGGAAATACTATAATAAAATGTTAAACAAGTTAGAAATGAATATGATTAATAGGGATCAAAAGTATAAAAAATAAGGACGCTATTGATGGAGTCGTGTGTTACATAAATGTTTTTCGTATATATTGAATCATATTAATTATTTTTAGAATACTTGAAATTTGACCAGATACTTGAAATTATGTAATTCATTATATTTTCAAGCAAATACATACAATATACTATATATGTGTATAATCATTTATATGTATATAAAAATTATCTATGTAATTTTATTTTATTTGAGATGCGTCACATATATTAGCTAAGCATCGGCTCGTACGTCTCAGAGATTTTTCTCGATCATTCCAGTGGGGGCATCTGAGAGACTTCGATCCCTTTGGTAGTCGTTAGGGCCTTTGTGTCTTTCTGTGACATGGTTTTCGTCATCAGCACATTCTGTGTTTTTGTCAGTAGTTATATCTCAAAGACAGTCCAGGGCACTTTCTGCTCGAACCTGTCTGATATCGGGCTCTCCCTGATCCTTATAGCTCGTTATTTTTCAAGGAAATTTGAATTTTGAACATAAGATGTAGAGGTCACACAGAGATGTCACATAACAGTAAATAATGTTAATAACAGTAAAAAATATGTGCATTAAGCAATGTAGCTGCATCATTTATGATGGTAGAACTCTAGCTGCACCCTTTGTGATAAAAAATGTCCCCGTAACCATCATCTTAAGAACCTGTGCTGGAAATGCAGCCCACTCTTCGTGAGTTCAGCTGACGGCGGGAATGCCCTAAGGGCCTTGATTTTCAGAAATGTGAGGGGCTGTTGTTTCAGAATCCATTATCGTCCTGCAATATTAGTACATGTCCGCTGAATCAAGAGTCTGAGAACTCCCAGTGCACTCGATCTTCCATTTTGACCCGATTTCCAAAGGGAATGTGACACGAACAAGCGCCGACAAAGGGCCAGCGAACTACCTGGCACCGGGCGTGCGAACCCGCATCATCGCAGCCCGGTGATGCCGCCTCGGGGCCAGCAGGAACATATTACAATATATGGATTTTCTGCTTGGCAGATTCCTGCAAGAATCTGTCTCATAGGTGGCACCGATTGACGATGACCCGACGAGGTATAGTCAACAAAAAGACGCTACGAAGCCAAAATTGCATTTTCCAGCTGACTCGCCCTGCTCTGTCTCCGCTGCGGCTTCCGCTTGAGTTTGACAGCTCATCACTGTCCGGCATGTGCTGCCTGTGAGTCTCAGTCTTGTCCCGATGAGGCCGAGAGCCAAAGTGACGGTGATCGCGTTTTAAGTAACTAGCAGCTCAAGAATTCGCAAATATCCAAGTGTTTTTCTGCAGAGATCGTGACCACATAAAACCAAAGTACTTTGAAGGCCTTACCTGCTTTTCTTAACTCAGATGTACTGACTGCCTATCGTGGAGACAGAGCCAAAGGTTTGCCCAGTGCTGCGTTGGTGACACACCGGTGACGATGCAGAGGTTCTGCTCTCCTGTCTGTCATCCGAGAGCTGAAATGAAGCGGACATATCGCTATCATGCAAGACGTAACGTGCTGAGCACACAGGAGCTGTGGGAACGAAGAGTTGACCCCGCGGGGATGAGACAGAGATCGGGTCCAGCCGGAAAGAACCAGACGTGACTCGTGAATGAGGCGGCATCCGAGCCCAGGGCTGAAACTTCCCATTTGCATGGGACTGCGGATGACATGCCGGGAACCATGTTAGTAAAGATGTAACGGAGGTGGGAGAGGGCCGGGCGATTATCTGAAAACGCGGACAGAAGTTACACTCGAATGATATACAAGCGAGTAAAGGTCTGCGATGTTGATATACTCGAAAGTTCTACTGGGTGAGACTGAGAGATGTGAGAGTCATTATAAAGAATATGTGTCATTTTAAAGAGGTTGGCAACCTGCATAGATGAACGAAAGAAGTGTAGGCAGATGGGGAGAGAGACGACCAGCTGGGTGTTATTTTGTTTAATTTTATTACAGCCATGCACACTGATACTGTTATTAGACCCATGGTCTGGGTCAGGCAGCCAAGGCATGAGGAAGATAAAGGACCCGACAAGGTCCCCCAGCTGATAACTGACCTGGCGGAGTTCAAGTACATTCATCCTGACCCAGAGCCTGGGCCGGTGGCATCCTGGCTTCCAGTGGGCGCAGGAGAAGGTCAGCACAGAGCTCACACGCTGAGGTGCAGCCGCTAGTCACACGGGAGCGTGGAGTTCTCATCAACCACACATCCCACCCGACAGCCTTTCTGCTCGAACCTGTCTGATATCGGGCTCTCTCTGATCCTTATAGCTCATTATTTTTCAAAGAAATTTGAATTTTGAACATAAGATGTAAAAGTCACACAGATGTCACATATATGCCATCGTGAGACCTAAATCAGTATTACGTGCTGCCTTGACTTTCTGGCCTAAGTTCCTCGCCCCTCTCTGTTCCTGCAAATGAAGTCCCCTGGCCACACAACCGTCCTTATGAAATGGACCAAATGGTCCCTGCTCATCTCTGAGCGCTGGGTCTTGTTTCCTGGCCAGCCTGGAATAAGTCGAACAGGACAATCCTGACTCCCTGTGAAACTGGGACCCCCACCTCTTCATACCACAAAGCCTGCCTCCCACAGTCTCTGGGTGTCCGCTGTCCTGACTGCAGCCCCCACGAGGCATGTGGCACGTGGCGTCCTGGTGTTAGCATCTTACATTAGATGGTACATTTGTCACAACTGTTGAACCATTATCAATATGTTAGTATTACCGCCCACACTGCATTTAGATCCTCTTAGTTTTTGCATAATGTTCTTCTGTTACAAGACGTTATGTTATGTTTGTTATCATTCTCCTTAGGCTCTTCTTGGCTCTGACAGTGGCTCAGATTTTCTTTGTTTTTCATGACCTTGACCGTTTTGAGGACAACTGGTCAGTTGTCTTGTAGGATGTCTCTCAGCTGAGACTTGTCAGTTTTTCTCACGATTATGCAGAGACTGTGATCGTTGAGGAATTAGGACCAGAGGGGGGCCGTGCCATTCCATCCTATGGCATCAAGGGTACGGACCACCGGCGTGACTTGTCACTGTCGATGCTCACTCAGTCACCTGGCTGAGGCGGCATTGTCACGGTTCGCCACTGGAAAATTATTCTCTCCTCTCTTCCATTCTATCCACTTTAGAAGGAAGTCAGTAAACACAGCCCACTCTTAAGGAAGAGAGTTATACTTTAACCCCTCGAAGGAAGAGTAGCTGCATAAACTTTATGGAATCTTCCACCAAGGAGATTTACCTATTCTCCATTTATTATTTCTTATCTATCTATCTATCTGTCTGTCTATCTATCTATCTATCTATCTATCATCTATCTATATCTATCATCTATTGAATCTATCTCTATATCCATCCATCTACCTATTCAATCCTTTACATCAGTATGGACTCATAGATATTTATAGATTGGGTATATTCTGCCCCTTTCTCCTTTTCAAAAAGATATTTATGGGTAGGGTGACCCAGATAGGACACTTTTTAAAATGAAAGAGCACTATTAATGATTACGATATATATAAAGCGTAAATGGGACTGTCCTGATCAAACTAGAATATGTGGTCATTCAATTTATGGCCCCTAAAACTTAGACAATTATAAATAATGAAGAACTGATTCATATTTTCTTAAAAGCGGGGAAGGAATAACCTCCCAATTCATGTAGGCAACAAGGTCATGTCTGAAAAGAATAATGGAAAGGAAGAGATAGCAAACATTTTGTTTCTGTTAAAATAAGCAACACATTTATATTCTGCCATGTACATGGTAGACCCGCTGGAGAGTGAGGTGACTAAATATGGGAGATAAATAAAGGAGAACACAGAGAACATTCCATAATTCCTTAAGTATCTATGAACAGTAGTAGCATTTTCAAAACTATTCTGGTCAGACACAGGTTTTATTGGAGAGGCGGCAATGAGTGTGTCTTTCAACTTCCGCCGTCATCTAAGTGAATCGAATGGCCGACAGTGTCGGATTAACAGAGAAGGTGAGACTAGACTGAACTGGGCAATGTTAATTGAAGCCAGAGTAACAGAATGACAAGTTATAGATGGAAGGAATAAAAACAACGGAATATCGGGCACTGTTCATATCCATGGCTCGAAAGAAGGAAGAAAAGCCAACAGACGTGGGAAGGAACCTCCAGGGGCCAGGACAGCATCTGTCAGAGAAGCCAAGACTCGAGACTGCACAGTTCTTCCCTGTTCTATCCTGTTACCCGAATCTCCTCGACTGTGGCACTAAAAAGTGTGAAGGTTGCCAAGAAGAGATGTCTGGTCGACCCAAGAAGAGATGTCTGGTCGACCCATCAGTCGAGGTGGCAACCTGGGAAAACCAGAGCGAGACGATCTAAATATGACAGCGATCTCCACAGCAGGAAACGCACAAAGATCGTCGCGCTTTAAAAGACTGGCTCCTTTTCCTAATAAAAATATAAATTGGCAAAGATTATTTCAATTTTTTTGTTGTTTCTATAATGGAAATATAAATCTCTGCACAAACTGCATCATCACCTGCTATGTCACCTGAAATATTCAAGAGACAGCATTTTATGATGAAGACTTTATAATGTTTATAACAGAAATACTACTGTTCTGAGCTATAAGAGAAAGACAGGTGTCGCTCTCAGGTCTCTTCATTTTGGCAGGCACAGGTATGAGTGATTAAATATATTATGGGTAAAACCAACAAAAAACAGAGAGAGAGAAGTGTGACATAGTACAATTATAAGGTGTTGCCACTGCTTTCTTCAGTGATATGGAACTGTCTGTGACTCGGGTGCCTCATCTGTGAAATGGTGATAACATTCCCCAGGACTCATGGAATGGGGCGAAGCAGCACGCGCACGGCCCAGTGCATAGCGGAGACTCAGTACAGCGGTTCTTAGGCGGGTTGTTTTTACGCGGCTTGAGGTGAGAAAGAAGCTCATGGTTTGGAAGCCTGACGATGCTCCCGTCTGTTATCCGACGTGCTGAACGTTATGGTCTCACAGCACGAAATGCACTTGAGCCCCGCAATCAAACCACCTCCTTCCACGCCTCTTACCACCTTCCTCAGTTTACCTTGTCACGCCGGATGCTGGGGCAGGGGGGGCTCACGGAGCGCCTCTGCACCTGACACAGGGACATGACAGAATGGGGTGGGAGGGCACGTGCATGCGGGGCCTTGTCCCTGGACACTCAAGACTTTGCCAATAAGAATAAAAGACTGACCTGGAAATTGGAGCTCAGAAAAAATATGACTGAAGTTGACCTTATATCACCTGCATCTATATGATATCTTTTAAAGATGTTATTCTTTAGAGGTTCAGAGCAAAATTGAGAGGCATACCTGTACAGGTTTCCCATATACCGCCCCCCCCCAGCTTCCCCCAACACACACAGCCTTCGCTTTGTCAATACCCGCTCCAGATGGAACATTCGTGACAACTGGTGAACCCGCTCTGACAACGTCGTCATCACCCAGAGTCCAGTTTCATCAGAGTCACGCCGGAGACATGTCATGGTATGCGTCCGCTGTCGGGGCGTCAGGTGCATCCGCCGGCGCAGCATCCGGTGCATCCGCTGGCGCAGCATCCGGTGCATCCGCTGTTACATGCAAAGGGAAGGGCTGCAGAAATGACGGATGCAGCAGGCTGCAGATTAGCCCTGTAGATCTCTGAATGGCCTTCTGGAAACTTGTCACACCTACAGGAGAAACGATCTGTAAATAGATGGGACTCGTGGTCCAGAAGTTCCTCCCCCCTCGCAGCCCCCGCCTGAAACTCCCCTCCCATCCCGAGTCAGGAGGTGCACAGGTGCACGTAGAATCACGCGTCCTACGCAGGACACTGCCGGGGTGTATAAGCCGTAAGCGAGCTAAGCGGGCGAGCCCGTGCTTTTGTTCTGTCTAGGGCCACACACATTCCGCCCGCCTAATAGACTCTCCTTCCTCTAACAAAGTCGTCTGAGCGTCCAGATCCCCTCTTTCAGGTGTCGCTTCCTGCCACATAGGGGCTGCAGGTCCCTACGGACGTTAACGGCACAGTGCTGCCGAATGCGCCAAACCTCTGCCAAGTGCCGGTGAGACCGGCAGGCCAGAGTCAGAGGAGCTTTCAGGGAGTTATGGGTACTCGGGGGAAATTCTCATGCC